CCCAAATCACATGCCTCAGTTTCTCTTTTCATAATACACAGGTGATTACATTGCAAAGCAGCAACAGCCAGTGCAAAAAGAGTCCCAAAGAATGTCTTTCTGATGCTTAGACCATGATGGCTATAACAAAGTTAAAATAAGACTTTAATATTTCTGTTCAATAAAGTTTGGGTGTAGTTGGTTGGTAACTGTTATTTCTCACGTGCTTTCTGGGCGCAAGGACTGGGAGGGTGTTTATTTAACCTGTTCTTGAGTTACAGTCAGCAGAGGGAGACTTTACATTTCCCCAGGCATTTCACAAGTATATTTTGACAAACAAAGAGTTGAAGCCATCATTTCTTTTAACAGCTTGGGCCAGATCTCTTTGCGGTGCCATAAAGCTGAGCAGGATCCGTGCTTGGTACCGGTAGGCAGAGGTCTGTTAATTGGCACGAGCCTGATTCACCCCTGAGAAGGAGCCCACCGGCTGACTGCACTGTTGCTATATTCAGACTCCATTTGGACACTTTTGACTTTTACGCTTTGTAAAAGAAGGCAATAAAGCAATTAGAAATAGATAACAGAAGGAGAGAGCACTAGAGCACTTCACCAAAGAAAGAAAAAGAAAATAGCATGGCATAATTAATAGAGAGCTGGCAGCAACGAAAATGAGCTGTAACAACCGTCGTGTGCCGGCAGTACGACTGCAGGCTGAGCTGCAGATGTCCGGTGCTCTGATGGCAGAGAGGGGTTTTGCCACCCAGCACAACCGGCCCGAGAATGCAGGTCTTTGGGAGAGAAGGAAGTAAAAGCATCCTTCGGAGCCGGGCGAACAGCAGTGTTCCTGTCAGTCCTCCACTGCGTGTCAGCCGGAGGATTCATCCAACTGTAAACATGCTCCCACATCAGAAGAGAAAGGGAATTCATGTAACCAGAAAGGCAGGTGCTTTTTTAGGGAAAAATCCAAGAATGTCCAAAGTTGAGGGTTGGGTTGAAAATTAAACGCAGTCTGCTGTTCCAGAGAGAGAATGAGTGGGCTTAGAGACAGGACAGATTGCACAGATCAGGACCTATCTCTTTCTTCAGTGTTATTAATTTTTAATTTGCATTGTTATAGTGTCTAGAAGCACCAGGTGGAAATCAGGGCCTCATTGTGCTGGGAACTGTGTGTAAACATAATGATTAAATGTTGCCAGCTCTGCAGAGGCTGAAATATAATTCCCCATCTCTGCAGCATCCCTAACCAGCGTAATTATTGTTGAATAAGTTTTTCTGCAATTGCTCTTCTGAAATATCTGTGCCACTTGATTTCTTTCAGAGTAACCATGCCTGAGGGGATGAAAAGATGTATTTGTACCAGATCCAACCTGGAACCTTCACAGATAGTAGCAACTGGTCAGAGGCAGAATCTGCTCATCACATTTGCATATGCAGTCAGATATTTTTTGCCTGTGTCTTGGTTTCCCTTTCTGTAAAATGGGAATCGTATCACTGCACTTTCGCCTTGCTCTCTTCATCTGACACCTGTGATCGGTGGCAGGGGTCCTCTGTTCAAGCCTCAGAGCACTATATTGACAACATCACGTACCAGGGCTTAGTGCTGTTTGTAATGATTGGGGATTAGCTGGAGAATATATGTTAGTTCTTGTGTGTTTTCTGTCTGAAAGGACTGGAGGCAGTGTTTGATACACCAAAAGTTCCTTTTCCATTAGTATTTTTCTATTAGCTAAATAACCGTGTGAAAACCAAAACACAACTAAACAAGGAGTTTAAAAAAAAAAATAAACCACAAAACAAACCTCAATGGCCACAGCATTAACAGGAAGCAACACATCAAACGGTCATTGAAGGAGTCTCCACAAGAAGGCCAAATCCCCTTGGGTTTCCGTGACACTTCGGCTCGCTGCTCAGAGGTCAGAGAGCAGCAGGGAACACCGGCCGCATTTTTACAACTTCAAAGCAGTTGCTTTCTGGCCACAACAGATGCCAAGCACAGGGAATTCTACCCTGACCCTAAGAGCAAGATCAGGTCAAACCAAGAGGACAGAAGTATGGTCCTGCTGGTCACCCACACCTCCTCACTGGGACTTACACTGAAAGATCTCCATGCAACAAGCTCAGTAGCAACACCAGGACGCTGCAGGGTGCAGCCTTTCTCAGAGCAAATCTGAAACCTGTCATTATTTCCATTTTTCAGTACTTTAGACATGCAGACTTTTAACTGTTGTGTACTATCCTGCATTCAGCAATTTTGCATGAATTTTAGCAAACTGGAAGGCACCGGGAGAAGGGGCTGGGAGCTGCAAGGCTGAAACAGAGCATCTACACCAAGGAAGGCCCCCCACGGGGCTGAGCAGACCGGCCCTTCCTCCTTGCTCTCCCAACCCTGAGCACCAGCTCCAGCCCCTCTGGCAAAAGGAGTGACAGAAACAATCGCCATGGGCTTTCCCTGCCGTTTCATCCCGCGGAGGGGACCAGTGTATGTTAAAATCAGACACTTGCTCAGTTAGCTCCAGACAGCTATCAGCTAGCACAGACCTGAAAGGGCCTTGGGGGCCCTGGCTTAGAGGGGGAGCTTGTTTTGGTGAAGGAATTAAAATTACAATACCTCATTCTGCTGGTTGCAGGAATGGTTGGTGAATGAAAAGTAAAGAAAAGGATCCCCAGAGACTGTGCATTTTAAAAAACAAGCAGGGAGATGAAAATAAACCCTCCCATGATTTTTAAAGCAGTCGTGGGACTTACAGGGATCCCAGCTCAGAGTTTTTGAATAGCAACTACAGGGCATCATTTACAAGTAGCATTTTTCCTAATTTCCTATTGCCCTTTAATACTTGCTAGGAAAGAATAGGGGCTTTGCGTTACAAGCAGCTTGAAAGGTTAAGCAGGTGGAAATACCCTCCAGCTCTACCTGCAGCCTTGTGCTGGTTATTTTAAATTACGACTGGACCTGGTTTAAGCGGTTGCGAAAGGTTACCTGAGCTCTCTCGCTTCACTGCTTCTAATCCCTGGCAACTGAATCTTCCCCAGGCACGTCTGTGTGAAATGGTCTTCCAGTCCCCTCTGCTGGTTGCAGCTCGCTGGAGAGCTGCACCGTGTCACTCGACGGAGACTGCGGTGCCACACTGCGCGGGGCTGCCACCAGCCCCACGCCCGCACCGCCCTCGAAGAAGGCACGAACTCCTCCAGAGACCACGGAGCGCTCCCTCACCCTCACCTCTGCGTCTTTAACGTGAGCACCTGGCACCTCGCTTACACAGGACAGCATCACGAGAAAGGGTGGAAATGTTAGCCAAATGGATAATATTAAAAAAAAAAAATCCCTGCTTGTGAAAGCTGAGGCATCCTTCTGAGAGCAAATAATCTCCCCATGGGGAATGTATGGCTTGAAATCTTTGCTGAGCTTATGACCCGAAACCACCCGGTGCCTGCGTGTCCCTGCGAGCCCGGCGCGGTGCGTCCATCCGGCAGCCTGCTAGCTCACGTCCCCAGCGCAGCCAGCGGCGTTGCAGCCACAGCCAGAGCAATCCCCACAGCTGCTTTGCTGGCGTTCCCACGGCGGCTGGGATCCAGTTTTGAAGTGCCCAAGGCACTGGGTGTGCAAAACGACATTCGGAGAGAGATCGTGCAGAAAGTCTGGGCCGGTGCATCCTGGAGAACTGAACACGTCCAGCAGCACAAGGCAAGGGTTGCTCGTAGCGATGTGGGGCTTGGGCACAGTTCATGGTGTCCAAATGCACACGCCGAGCAGTGCGAATCTTCTAGCAGAGAGGGGGAGTTTTGTTCCTGGGTGCAATGAGCTGGTTTGTGAGGCGGCCATCAAGGTGGTCAGCTCTGACGGACTCACGCTGGCCGGCGTGGGCAGCAGGAGGCAGAGCTGGCCCAGGGCAGCCGTTCTTGATGGCCTGCAGCGTGCCAGCACTCTCCGCCAGCCAGCCTGTCCAAGGAGGAAACCCAAGTGACAATCCCTGATAACAAGCCCTGCTCGTGGCCAGAGGCCCAGGGGCCCTGCACGGGAAGGCAGAGACCAGGGGAGCCTGCACTGAGCCCATTGCAGAACCCCATGCTCCAGCCTGGTTTACAGGATTGCTTTGTACGCACAAAACCCCCAGTGCCAAAAAGTACTGCGTACCCCATGCCCTGGGGCAAGCATGGGCGCTGCAAAGGGATGTAGTAGAAAAACTAAAGGTTTATTTTTATTTTTATTTTTTTTTAACAAAATACATCTTTAAATAATAACCATTTTTCTCCCATGCTGAGGGACTGGGCATGGTTCCTGTCAGCTCTCCTTCCCTCCCCCTCTCCTCACTTTGGAGCTCTCCAAGGGTGCTGCTGGGGAAGAAGAGGCAGCGATGCTCTCCCTGGGGGCTTCAGGGTGTGGGATGCCCTGGTATGGACCCCGCACACTGGGCACGGCACAGCGGGAGCCCTTCGGAAGGCAGCAGACCCCGGCACCCGCAGCAGGGCTGGTGAAGGGCCCCAAGGGTGCCTTAGTTCAACCCACCCACAGCATCACAGTGTGTCCCACCAGAGGCAGGGTGCCCGGCCGGCCGGACCCTGGCCTGGCTGCAGGGCGTCACGTTCCCATGAGCCAGTGTCGGACACTGCTTCTGCTGGCCTTGGGGCTAGTGCAGGCTGGTGACAGGGGATGATGACCGTGCTTTAGGAGAGGAGGAGGAGGAGGAGAAACAGGGTGCAGGTTCGTTGGTCCACATGGATTCTGCCGAGAGAGAGGTGCACAGTGATTTCTGTGTCTTGCCCCCCGCTGCCCCTCTTCAAGCGATGCTGCCGTCAAAGATGCCACGTCAGTCCCACATCCTGCTCCCAGTGCTTCCCCATGAGCCTGCCTGCCCTGGGAAATGCTGACCCCAGGTTAGACGTTATAGCCCACAGTTCAGATCTCCTCCATGCCTGCCTGGAGCCCTGCTGCCTTCCTGGGAGCCTTGGGATAGCCCCAAGACCCATAGCCATCACCCCCTCCAGCCGTATGCTAGCAGGGCAGGAGAAACACCACTTACCTCTCACTGCGTGTTGTCCAGCTGCTTTTCCTTCTTATGCAACTTTGACTGGGGGTTAAATGAGAGAAAACAATGATTCCGTTACAGACTTGCCCCTTTCTAATGCCTGGAAAAAATGTGGTTGAAGAGCAACTGCTAACCCCCGATGTATAAGCATATTTTCAGATGAATTTGAGGAGAGCTGTTTTCGTGTCCTATGAAAGGCCACAAAACATCCCACGGTCACGGAGATGTTCTCAGAAAAGGGGACATTCCCCATTTTGCTAAAGCACAGGTCTGGCCCTGCTCCCGTTAAAGTGATGCGAGTGTTACCAGATATTGGAATATCTGGGGATAAAGGGAGCGAATAAAGCTGTTAACAGTGAGTCACACAGAGAAGATCTCTGTGGTTTTTGAGAGGAGATTCATGGTTCCTGTCTCTGACAGTCCTGAGGGCTCAGGATTCCCACTAGCTCAGGAGGGTGACTGGTTGCTCCTCAATATAAATGTTGTTTGTGTTACAGCATCATTACCCATGCACACATCCAGACTCACACACCCGCAAGAGCCTCTGCAGGGCAGCGGCTCACTGTTACTTACAGGCTCCTGTTCCGCATATTTGAATTTCTTCTGCTTGTAATAGTCCCGTCCTTGGAGAAAATGCAGCAGGAGCAGGTCGCAGAGGACAGAGGCCTTAAATCAAAGCACGGTTAGGGTTGGGGCTGCCCTCCCAGCTCACCTGTGCCACCTTGTACTTCCAGCTTGGGTCACCTCTGCTCCAACCCACAACGTGGCAGCTGCTAAGAGCATATAGCCCCCGAATGTCCCTTTAGGTGTGCTGGGCTAAAGACCGGGCTATTTAAGTCAACAGAAATCAAGTGTTTCCACTTTAGGTATATGCGGAGCACAACACCCTTCAGAACATGCAGAAGTCTTTTATGACCACAGCCAAATAGGATGCTGGTTTTCTGTTGTGCGTGAGATACCGCCCATCACCTCCCAAACCCCCTCAATACCAGCTCGAACTTGAAACTATCAAGATATCAAGACACGGCCCTGCCGTGAAAGCACGCATTCCCCTCACTCGGCAGGGCAGTGGCGCACCCCAGAATTCACATCAGCCGGTGGGGAGCAGGAATCGATTTTCCTGAGCTAGCGAGGCAGGAGAGCACCCCCTTTCCCCCTTTTGCCCATCCCTTGGTGCCCGAGCAGGAAACCGTATTTCACTGCCGCTCAGGGACACTTCCCCATGGACGTCACAGGCAAGCAGAATAATTTGAGAGTCTTCATACAGAAGCTGGAAATATCTGAACTTACCACTCCAAAAATACCAATTCCAGAGCCAATTGTGGTCATGGTTGGGATGATGTCAAATTTGCCTGCCTGAATAAAATCAGAGAAAATAGGTGATGTGTTACAATCAGACCAGGGCTAAAAAAACAGGGTGCCACAGACATAGGTGGGGTTTAGCTGAAGAGCCTTGCAGCAACCCAAACCACAACCACAGCACAGAGAGAAACAGGAGCTGGGTAAGAGCTGGTTTTAAGCTCATTGGTCAAACAGAAAAATATGGTAGGTTGGTTTTAGGCTGACATAAGTTGAAATTACTTTGCTTCCTGTATTTTTAATTTAAAAAAAAAGAAGTATACTCTTTAAATATTCCTAATGGGAACACAACCAACAAATCCTGTTCTCCCAAAGGGAAGAAAAAGACAAAATAGAAAAATGCAAATTATCAGCTTTTGGAAATATCAGTAAAAGGTTTTGACTTTCCACAGTTCCCTCCCTCATGATGTTTTTTGCAACAAAGCCACTGACCAAACCGCAGCTGACAGACGTGACCTGTAAAATGGGCTTGCCCTCTATGTTCCTTTCCCCAGCAGTTCCCAAGGGCTGCTGTGAGCAGGCCAGCACCTGGGGAAGCCACTTGCACTGGTTTTCCTGGCCCCAGGAAACCCTGGCGCTGTGTTCCAGAGCTGGTACATTCCTGAGGACATGGCACTGCCATCCTGGGCATCCGGGGGCAAACCCAGTGCCTGGCCACCCTTACCTTGCCATTCACCAAGATGTCAAACCGGATCCCAAACACCTTGTAGAGCGTCCTCTTGTCTGTCCCATCTTCTTTGTAGTATTTGGCATATCTGTCCGTTCGGATCGCAAACGTTAATGTCCTGCAAAGGTGTCTAACAGTCCCCTGCAACCCAACAGCATCGGGATCTTGGTGGGCTGCAGAGCAGGACAAAGAGCTGGGGATGCTCTGTCATGGACCTGCTCCTGACCCTAACCTTAACTCCCCCCCACCACTCCCAGAAAGGAGCTGGGCTGTTTGCACCTATCCCTTCCGTGCCTCAGTTTCCCTGTCTGCAGGCTGTAGCTAGAGCTCCTGCTTGTGCCGACATCTGATGACCCCAAGTGCTCTGTGACAGCTGATATTAGTGCAGCACTAGTGGCAGCTGCACCCAGAGCGGCAGTGAGAGCAGCAGCTCATGCCTAAATGTCATGCTGTGGCTGAATGCTTTGAAGTGTGAGAACACACGAGGTGACCTTGCACCATTTCCAGCCTTTCAAGGGGCTTCCCACGAGCTCAGCTGAGCAGGAGACTCTGCAAGGGTGAGGAGATGTACAGGGAAAGGCAACAGGGTAATTTTGAGGCCGAGAGATGGGTTATCACTTTTCTCATGCCATTCTAAAGAGAGCAGTGCTGTCTGGCACTGCAAAGGTAGTGAGTATTTTGGGGAATGGTCCTTGATCTTCCACCATCCCTTGAATGCTGTGGGATCCTGAAAGATGTCTCCTCTGAATTCTGCCTGGAGAGTTAACAGGGGTCTCCTTACCTGAAGTTGAAGCCTGGTGAAACATTACTGTCGTCATTGTAAAGACCGTGGAACTGGTAAATGGGTTTGCAGTACCGGACGGGCCAGTCGAGGTCACAGTTCCAGTCTATGGTGATGCCCACCACTCCACCCTGCAGCAGCCACGAGAGGAGTCACGAGGTTGCCCTGCTCAGCCCAACCTCCTTGGACCTAGTCTGCATGAAGAAACTCCTTCTCTCCTCCTATGTGGCCTTTCTCAATGCTACGAGGTGCCCTGACTCTCCAGGGTACACAGACCCCACCGCTGCTTCAGCCCTCCTGGGCATCCTTGGCTTCGTGCCCTATGCATCACCCGATGCAGAGGCGCTTGCTTCTGCCCAAAATGCTGGATACACGACTGAAGTCATGCCCTCTTGTTCCTGGTCAGCATCCCATCCCCACGGCATGGTCCTGAGAAACAGTGCCCACTGCAGATCCCCCACAGTCCTAGTGGGACAGCCTTCCCTTGCCTGATTTTACCCATGAGATTTGCCTGCCCCGAGGCTTAACCCTGCCATTAAACCTTCAACGTCACAGGGAAAATGAAAGGCAATTTAACAAGACCATAGAGGAAAGTGAAAAGAACCCATGAAAATCAGAAGAAAACCTCCTCTATGAGGTTTTCTGCTAGGAAATGAAGCAGTCCCTCCTGAGCTCGCTCCAGATTTTAACTAGCTGTGCCCCAAAGGCTCTGCTTTTTGCACCTTTAATCTATGCAAGTCTCTGATTTTGTTCAATGCCTGGCAAAGTTAGCTGAAGGCTCTGCAGTGCAGAAACAGCCGATATTCTTGCATATCGCCCTGAGAAGCGACGGGCAAAGCTGCACTTCCGAGCCTGGGGAGAGGCTGCAGTTTGCGTTGCGCAATGACCAATATTTGACTGTCCAGCCGAGGATTCTGAGCTCAGTCGCGTGGGATTTGGGCATCCAGCTCTAGTTACTCACTGCACAAATTAAAACAAACTGAACCCTAGATTTGCTGCCAGTGAGTGAAATCTTGTCAATCTTACAGGGGAGTTCCCAAGAAAGGCTTAATTATTAGGCCACACCCAAAGAGATTCCTAATCTTTAAGGGCTAATTCTGACACTGCCTCGCAAGTCCTTGAGAAAACAGTTTCCTCACATCTCAACGGGCTGGGGATGATTGCCCTGTCGGTGTCCCCCTCCCCACATCAGCAAGAAACATCCTTTGAAATTGAGGTACCTTAACAGCCAGGAAGGTAAAATTCTGACCCGATTCCTTTACTATGTATCCCAGGTCAAACACGGGGCATAAGGAATCGGTGACTTTGTGATAGGTGCATCTCTTCAGGTACTGCTTGGTAACGCTCTCAACCAAGTTGCGCCTGTGAAGGAAAAGAGAATGAGAAAGAGTCTGAATAACCCAATAATTTGGGTGGGAAAGGACCTCTGGAAGTCCCCGGTCCAATCCATTGCTCAAAGCCAGGTAACTTCAAAGTGCGGGGCCTCATCCTCCTCCCCCACGTGCTGAGCAGACCCCACACATGGAGAGTGGACCCTTTCTTCCCGTCCTGCCTGGTTTCTCCTACCAGTCTCCCAGCGACTCGTGTCCCCCGAACCTCCTCTTGCAGAGAAAACTTCTCTGCTGTTTTCTCTCCCGCAAATGGCCTCCACCTCTGCTTTGGGTTTGCTGCTTTGCTTGCTGCCCAAACCCATTTCTTCAGCATGTCTGCCTGTCCTCATGTCTTTTAACAGCCCCGTCTCTTGTTCCTTAGCTTTGCAAACCCTCCCATGGCCTCCACCATCCCTCCCAGCCTCCTCTCCCATTCACATGTCAGCTCACTCACAGGCTCTACCAGGCAATGCTCCATGCACCAACAGTTTCCATCTGGGACAGCTCATGGATAGCGTATCCCACAGTTTTCACACTTAGCTGGATTTTGCCATCTCCTCCAGAAAGGGTGAAAAGGGAAGGACAATGTCTTGCCTTCCACGCCGCTCTGCTCCTTCATCTTAAAATAGTACTTCTGTGAAACCTCCCCAACTCAGTTTTGTAAGATGTGTCCCTTGCTCAACCCCGTCCCATCGTTTACACTCAGCAGTTAATTAGCAGCAGTGATCAAAGGCAGGAAGTTTCCCCATGGCCCCAACTGGCTCTGGCTCAGCCCCTGGAACAGCAGCCAGCCTGGCCGCCCTCCCCTCGCAGGGGCTGCTCTCCCCCACCCCGTCCCCTCTCCTGCCTGCCCTCGCTCCAGTTGCCACCCCTCCCTGCTGCTGGTGGGGGATCCCCTCTCCCAGGCACCCCTCGGCACGAGGGGCTCAAGACTTTGCCAAGCCTGCAGGCTGCCACGGTGTTTAACCTTGGCTGCAGCGCAGGGACGGGATCGGCTTAGAGAGGAATCCGCCATCTTCAGCACAAAGAGCTTCTGTTAGTTTGTTCCAAACCAGATCTATAATCAGTGTCATCGCAAATTCCTACCGTGTGCGCCGGCAGCACCGTTTCCAGCGCTGCCTGGAAGGGGCCGACCCTGCGACCCACTGCAGAAACAGGTGGGAACCGTGACAGTAAGAGGGGCTTCTGCTCATTTTTGGGCAGCAAGCTCATCCTGGCTGCCCACACGCCACTGAGGCATTTAGTATTTTACTGTTATCTTTGGGGAGGAAAAGGGAGGGGAAAAATGCAGAATCAGAGACAATGTATTTTAATGTGCATCACATGAGGGTAACTCAGGGGACATTAATTCCAGAAACCTTTCCTGTAACCACAGCTACCAGCTGAGGTGGGACAGATTTGGGAGGCAAACGTCTCAGTTCCTACCAGTGAATCTGGTGAGTGGTGCGGCAGTTAGAGTAGATCTGGACTTGCTGGTGAGGGACGGTGTCCTCTGTATCAAGCATCCAGCTCTGCCCCTGGTTTCCCCTTAGGGACACGGCTGGGTGAACCGAGCAGAAGCTGCCCCCCAAAACTTCCCCTTACCTGGACACCTTGAACCTGGGGAAGGTGATGCTGTTCTTGATGAACAAGGTGAACTTCTCTGCTTCTGACAACAGGGCAGGGCTGAAAAACACAAGTGTTGGCATGTGTCCATCACTGAGCTCTCCAGCCTTTACAGAAAGCCCCATTTGGTGGGACAAGCAGCACCCAGAAAATCTGGTGATCTAGTCCCTGCCCTTTCTAAGCGAAAGATTCCAACAAGGTTCAGAAAAGCCCCAAGGAAGAAGGGAAGTGCTTGTTAGGGGACAGAGATGGTGTTAGGTGAAAAGATTCCAATAAGGTTCAGAAAAGCCCCAAGGAAGGAGGGAAGTTCTTGTTAGGGGACAGAGATGGTGTTAGGTGCCGAGATTTCAGTTGAGAAACCCCAAAGGTACAGTGAGATGGCTGGAAGAGAGCTCAGGGGCCCTGGGTGCTTCTCTGGGACCCTTGGCAAGACCCATGGCTGTCCCTGCAGACCCCCTGTGGGAAGAGGGGGCAAGGAGGAACAGGACTTTGCATCTACCAGGAGGTGTTTCGCAGTGGCCCATAGAGTGTGGAGGTGGAGAACATCTCAAGGGCAGATCACAATTTTACTCTGAAGGCAAGTGAGGTAGATGGGGGCTGCTGGTCCATGCACAGAGCACCCAGCAGAGATGGGCTGAGCCACCAGCGAGGTGGGAAGCAAACCATGCCAGGAGAGGCACAAACCCCCAGGGAGCACCAGGCATTATGTACAGCCATGGTGTCTGCATCAACCCAGGCTATCCTGGCAGCAACCCGCAGAGCCCAGGCTTGCTCTGCCCTACACCGAGTGCTGCTGGTGCAGCTGCAGTGGAACCGGAGTGGAGAAGGCGGCAGTGACATCATTGCTTACTTGGGAATGTGGTCATCAACCTCAACAGGGCACCAGCCAAAGATCTCACAGGTCTTCACAGAGCTGTTGAAATGCACACACTTGCCCGTCATGAGCCCTGTGGGGAAGAGAGACAGCTGCTCACACCCCTGGATACTGGGAAATCCCAGCCTCACACTGGGATGGATGGGATCTGCTTGGAGCTTCAGCCCCGCCAGACATCCAAGGCATAAAATGCTCAGGGCTTTGGTATCCCTTTATAAAAAGGTTAATTAACGGTGTCCTCTCAGCTTGGGGCAGTGGTTTCTCTTGCACTATTGTACAGGGGAGCAACTGGGCATTTGTCTTGCTAAAATACACCTCAGAAGATGCCAAGCTGTTAGAAAGACAGCAGTCTGGGGGAAATGGTTTAGTCTTGATTAACCTTTAGTTGTGAGAGATTTTTACAGCTCAGATCTCTTTTGGAAGAGGCAAGCAGGACCAACCCAGGTGGGACTCTCACCGGGGATGTCAGAGGCTTTTCCCAAACCCTGTCAGCTGGTGGTCCAAAGCAGGTCCCACCACCAGACATCCCAGCCCTGCAGCTTCGCCGAAGCAAGCTGTGCTCAGCGTGTCTCGCCAGAAACGCCGTTGCCAGAGCCTCGGGGCCGCGGGCCGTACCTTGTCCTTGGCGGCCGTTACTTCCCTTTGTGCCATCGGCGGTC